ATGACCGCTAGCAATAACTATAAACAATAAGTTTAGGTTGTTGAAATAGAGCTTTCAAAGGGTTAACACATCATATTTAATAGCATCTATAGAAAATGTCCCTAAAGCAATGCATCTTTTGATTTCTTGCCTACTGCTATGGGTTTTGATTATGGAAATCTGCTGATAAGAACCTCTTGAAAGTATTAATAGACATTATTATGGTATTCTTTGCTTTCAGCCAGGATCTATTTGACATCAGCAGTGATATCTTTGGTTTCACAGCCTTTTCTAAATCCAGTTTGAACTTCTGGCATTTTCTTATCTATGAACTGTCCTAGCCACTTTAAAACTTTTCTTCAGCAGTATTTTGCTTCGATGTGATATTAATGATGTTCAATAATTTCCACATTCTGTTGGAGCACCTTCTTGGAACTGGAACACATATCTCTTCCAGTCAGCTGGCCAGACAGCTGTCCTCCAATTACTTGTCAAAGACTGGTGAGCATGTCCAGGGCTGCATCTGTCATTTGAAACATGTCAATTGGTATTCCATCAATTCCTGTGGCCTATTTTTTGCTAATGCCCTCAGTGCAGCTTGAACTTCTTCCTTCACTACCACTAGCTCTTAAACACATGGTACTTCCTGAATGTATTAGTGTAAATTATTGAAAATATAAAATCATAAATGTAAATGTCTAGTAGTTACTTATTATATAATTTAGGTATTATTTCTTTTGAGTAATATATAGAAATGCTGCCAATCTGTTGTCAGCAGACAACTCAGTCAAGAACATCAATCCTTAGGTTGTAATTTTTATATTTTCCTTTCAGTCATAAGACAATCATAACTTTAGCAAAAATATTCATCAGGACTTCCTAAAAATTAACACTATAATACCAAAAATGAAGCATTTATGCCAAAACAAAGCTGTGAAAGCAGGAAGGGGCAGGAAAGAAGACTGAATGGAATTAGGGAATGTAGGGAACCAGTGGGAAGAGTGCTGTTACATTGAGGGGATTGTAACTGACATAATGGGAAAAACATGTGCATGAACTGGTGAATGGAAAGCCAGTTAGTTCTGTAAACATTCACCCAAAGCACACTTTTAAAAATAATAGCTTTGGGGGCTTCTTGATACTACAGATGAAAAGGGATTCTCTAGATGGCACAGAAATGCTGTGGGTACCATAAAGAAACGTGAAAACCCAGATGAGCCAAAAGAGGCCACGATTCTATGAGGACACATTTGTGGAATGGGCGAGCACGACAACAATGGAGAAAACAATAGAGAATCAACACACGGGGGCCCATTACCAGAAACCGGAAAGGCTGAGATACCTACATGGGGCCAGATAAAGAAATTAACGATGGAGGGAAGAAAAGCATTAGCAAAAACAGGGAGAAATCATTATCTTCTGAAAATTTGGTTTCAGCTATGCATACTGTATCGAGTCAAGGGGTCAAAGTTATGGGTTGCACTAAGAAGAAGCAGCTGAAGCTGTGGTGCTGGTGTTGTAACAGAGATTTTGATGATGAAAAAATCCTTATACAGCACCAAAAGGGAAAGCGTTTAAAATGCCATATATGTCATAAGAAACTATACACAGGACCTGGATTAGCTATTAATTGCATGCAGGTACATAAAGAGAAAATAGATGCTGTACCAAATGCAATACCTGGGAGAACAGATATAGAATTGGAAATCTAGGTATTGGAAATCTAGGTATGTCTTTATCCAGAAAAAGACATGGATGAAAGACGATGACTTCTTGAACAGAAAACATAAGAGTCTCAAATAAAGAAGCAACAAGATGATTCCGATGAATATGATGATGACTCTTCATCTTCAGCTTCAACTTCTTTTCAGCCACAACCTGTTCAATCTCAGCAGGGTTATATCCCTCCAATGGCACAGCTAGCTCTGACACCAGTCCCAGGAGCACCAAGAATGCCAACAGGTGTACCTCCATTAATGCCAGGGGTTCCTCCACTGATGTCAGGAATGCCACCTGGAATGATGCCAATGGGTGGAATGATGCCTCCTGGACTAGGAATACCACCTCTGATGCCTCATCTGCTGCCAGGTACACCTCCCCCTGTTCTACGTCCTGGAATTCCTCCGATGACTCAAGCACAGGCTGTATCAGCACCAGGTATTCTTAATAGACCACCTGCACCAACAGCAACAGTTCCTGCTCCACAGCCTCCAGTTACTAAGCCTCTTTTCCTGAGTGCTGGACAGATGGGGACACCTGTAACAAGCTCAAGTACAGCTTCATCTAATTCAGAAAGTCTGTCTGCATTTTCTAAAGCTCTGTTTCCTAGCACAGTACAAGCTCAGGTAGCTGTCCAAGGACCTGTTGGTATAGATTTCAAGCCCTTAAACAGTACTCCTGAAACAACTACAGAGCCTCCCAAGCCTACATTCCCCGCATATATTCAGTCAACAGCATCAACCACTAGTACAACAAATAGCACTGCAGCTAAGCCAGCAACTTCAATAACAAGTAAGCTTGCTACACTTACAACTACCAGTGCAACCAGTAAGTTGATCCACCCAGATGAGGACATATCACTGGAAGAAAGAAGGGCACAGTTACCTAAGTATCAGTGTAATCTTCCTCGGCGAGGACAGGCTACAACTGATAACCCATCTGTTAGACAAATTGGAGGTATGATGCCACCACAGCCAGGTATCCCACAGCAACAAGGAATGAGACCTCCAATGCCACATCACAGTCAGTATGGTAGTCATCATCAAGGCCTACCAGGTTACCTTCCTGGTGCTTTGCCACCATATGGGCAAGGACCACTAATGGTGCCCCCGTACCAAGGTGGGCCTCCTCGACCCCCAATGGGAATGAGACCTCCTGTAGTGTTGCAAGGTGTACATTACTAATATTACTTCACCTAATCTAATAGTTAATAGACTAATTAACAACAATCTGCGTTATGCAGATGACACAACCCTGCTTGCTGAAACTGAGAAGGACCTCATGCACTTGCTGCGAAGGGTCAGGGACTGCAGCCTTCAGTATGGACTGAGGCTCAATGTCAAGAAGACAAAGATTTTCACCACTGGACCAATTGGCAGCGTCAGGATGGATGGCGAAGAGATTGAGATTGTTCACAGCTTCACTTTGCTCGGCTCCACAGTCAATACTCGTGGCACCAGCAGTCAGGAAATAAAAAAGCGTATCGCGATGGGAAGGTCTGCTGTTAGGGAGCTCTCTAAAGTACTCAGGAACAACGGTGTCTCTCTGGAGACTAAGGTGCGCCTGATACAGGCCATGGCATTTGCAATCGCTTGTTATGCATCAGAGAGTTGGACAATGACTAGGGAGGACAGAAGGAGAGTGGATGCTTTTGAGCTGTGGTGCTGGAGAAGAGTACTGAATGTACCATGGACTGCCAGGTAAACAAACAGATTCATCTTGGAGAGGATTAAACCAAGCTACTCGTTAGAGGCAAGGATTCTGGGGCTTCGTCTGACATACTTTGGACATGTTGCCAGGAGGGACGTGTCCTTGGAGAGGGACATCATGCTTGGCAGGGTGGAGGGACAGCGCAGGAGGGGAAGACCCTCTATGAGATGGATTGATTCGGTGACTGGGGTAATCGGGATGGGTGTGTCAGAGGCAGTGCGGTTGGTGCAGGATAGAGCAGGGTTTGGGGCTGTTGTGCATAGGGTCGCTATGAGTCGAAAATGACTCGACGGCACATAACAACAACAACAACAACAACAACAATAATCTAATAGTTTGGAGATTAAACCTTTCTCAACTTGTGCTGTTTATATAGCCAAGCTTCCGTCAATTAAGGCTTCATTGTGACTTTAACAAACATTATCTTCCCACATACCAGGAACTACTGGACATTTATTTTACATGGGAAAATTATTTGGAATAATAAAGCAGGAAAGTTCCCGAAGTTGCCAACAAAAAAGCTTTACAAATTTTTATTGTGATTTAAGTGAAGGTTTGTAAATCAAATTAATTTCTCATTCAACTATTCATAAACAGTTCACAACATCATGTAACATACCTCAGTAACAACAATGCAATTGCAATTTTCCTATTTCCTCCCTGTAATTCTGCTTTCCATTAATTATTTTTCCCCCCAATTTTATTATTTTCTGTGTGTGTACCATCAAATTGTATCTGACTGGTACAGGAGGAGATGGACCCTCCTTCTCCGGCAGAGCATCTGATGGATTCGAACTGCATATCTCTGAGATTGCAGTGCAGCTTCTTGCCACTAGGCCACCAGAGCTCCCCCATTAATTCTTAAATATCTCTTTGTATCTTCCCTTTCTTAAATGATATTGTGCTGTTCCTTTTCTTAATGCCTTTTCCTATGCATCTCAACTCAACTTATGGTATTAAGAAAGGATTGATTCATAGTTTACTCTCTAACAGGTTTATGGGAGGCTGTAAATAGCATGGGAGGAGACTACTTATGTTTTCCCCATGGATCCATTAGTGATTTCTAATCACCAGACAGATGCCACCTTTGGGTTAGCAGCATGACTTCCTACCAGTTACACTACTTGCAAAAGTAGTACGTGCAATGTGATGGTAGCTTAGTCTGACTTCTAACCACTTCATAAAGGGGAACTGTCCCCATCAATAGTATCTGTAGCAGCAAACAGTTAGTTGTTAGGCAGACACATCACCCCCTATGCTCTGCATATCCTTGTACCAATCATTGCATTTGATATTTGTTGTTGACTCAAGTAAGTTGGAGAGTGAGGGAGGCAAAGAATATCACCCAAAGCAAGTCCAGATCTTAGCTCAACAGTATCAAGGCATAGTCTAGGCTCTGGTTTTAGTTCAGCAAGTAGCTTTTCCTTCTATCGGGAACAGCAACACCTTAAACTGTGGCCTTTATCAGGGCTCCTCTGGTTACACTTTGAGACAGTTTATCCAAAGCAATGTCATAGTCTCCCCACCACCATCACCAGGGCTTTGCGACCAGGGTCTCATTATCACCAGAGTCTTACTCTCATCAGGGTCTTTCTCCAGTACCCCTCAAGTCTTGCTATTCAATGTAGGAAGCACTCTCTCTCTTACCCTATTCCTATAGCTATTGATGATTTGCAAGACTACATGTCTGCAGTTAAGGTAGCTGGAAACCAGACGGGGCTAAGGTAATGGCTAAAAAAACTAACTTTAAGCTAACACCACAGTACTAGAGCTCCCTTCCTTTTGCAAAGGTTCAAATATTTTTAACCTTTTTTGTTGTTTGTATAGATAAAGTATATTCATCAAGGTAAGACATTATAATGCACTTAAAGAGTTATTCCACATCACAAAAGCATTTTCAGTTGACAGTATGGTAGAAACACTTGTTTTGCTTGAGGTCAAGTGTCTTGGCTTATTTCATCCATGCCTATTTATGTACTATCTTACATTATTCGCGCCCCCCCCACCCCGTTTTTGCTTTTAGAATTGTCACAATAAGCTACAGGAAGGCGTAGCCTGGAAGAACTTGTTTCAGCTGCATCAAGTCTTTCTTGCTCTCTGCTCAGAATTTTCTCCTATACTCTGCAGGTGAGGGAACTGTGGTGGCCTGGTCTGTAGGGAGTGGCGCTACTAACTGAAAGATTAAGACTCTTTGGCAGTTTAAATCCACCAATGATTCTGAGATAAAAAGACAGGCAATCTTCTGTGTGATATGCAGCTTTGGAAATTCAGTGGGGAGCTAACTATGAATTGGCTCAGATTTGATGGTAATAAGTTCTTGGGACTAAGTAGGATATTTCTGAGACTCCTCTCAACATGCTGTTACATATAAAGGAAACCTGTAACAATGGAAAGACAGGAGCAGGTGGATAATATTTTCCTCTCTTAGCAGAGAATTTTGAGGTGTATTCCCAACTCTTTAGAAGCTCCCAGTAGGATTGAGTCCCAGTTTCCCAAAGCAGTATAATTGAACAATGTATCTCAATAATGCATGTCCAAAATGAATTTCATCCTGCCATCTTCTATTTTTCTGTTGTTATGACTTTGATCTATCAGATTACTTTCCAAAATAAGCCACTTGCTTGAAAACCCTTGTCTTAGACCCCTAGTTTCTGAGAGAATTCTACAGGAAGGTGCTATTGTTGTTCATTGCCTATCAAGTCAGAACTAACTCAGAACTGACCATCCAGGGGGGTTTTAGAAGTTGTAAATCACTGAGGAAAGAGACTACCCATCTCTCTTCTATGAAGCATCTAGTGGATTTGAACTTCCTTCTGTAGAGTTGGCAGTGCAACTCTCTGTCCACTAGGAAGAAGGACTGGCTATCTACTTCTAAGTAATAGGTCTTCAGAAACACTATGGGGATACCACCGCGGGCTCTGAGTGGCCCCTGCCCCGGATGGCAGCAGTTGTTCTAGCAAGAGATACCATGGGCCCAGAGCGAATCTTTCCCAATCAGACTGAGGAACTAGGGCCGCATGTGGGCTCTACAGAAGGTACTGGGGATTGGAGCAGTGAAGAGCACAAAGAAGAGCAGGAGGAAGCAGGGGTAGGCCCAGCTGGCTATTCTTACCAGCCCCTGAACCAAGATCCTGAACAAGAGGAGGTGGAGTTGGCACCTGTCGGGGATATAGAGGATGTAGTTGCTGACATCCAGGAGCGGATCCAGGCCCTAGGGCTGCATTTGCCAGACCCTCCCATAGAGAGTGAAGATGAAGAGGAGGAGGGAGCTACAGCATTGAGCAGCCATAGCTCTATTCCCATGGACCCAGAACATATAGAGCTGGTGAAAAGGACAATGGCTGGAATCAGCCTTCCTGCTCCAGGGGTTCCTGCCTGGGCGCGGGAGATCTCAGACGCACAGTGGGAAGATGTGGTACAGAAGGCCCTGCAAGCCCGGCAGTCATCCCCAGTCTGGAAGTGACAGTGACAACGAGAGCTGCCTTATCACCCAGCATTCCATGTCAGAACCAGCACAAGACTAAACACATCCCTGGTTTTATTGTTTATCTCCATCTTCCCCTTCTCCCTTCCCACGTCAAGGCAAATCAGACTTCTTGGAGACCCACTTTATTCAGTTCTGTACATATGGGGACGTTGGCCCAAGCCCAACCCTCCTTAGCATGTATCGCTCTGTGGAGAATAAAGC